AGAGTCCTCTCTTATATGTTAATGTAGTAAATAAAATGATTGAAAAACATCTGAAAAGATCAATCAGGATATAATTATGCTTCATTAGAAACAAAACCCGAAACTCATATCAGCAATTTACCTTATCAGCATCTCCACTACCATTACATATCTCACTCTGGCATGCGCAGGATATGTCCTTCCGAAAGTTAGACTTGCAGGAATTTCCAACATGCATCTCCTGTTTGTATCTACAGAGGTCAAATTTCTAAATGAAAAGGCGTAGAAGATATCTAATCATTTCTTTGCAGTCTATATTAACTCCAAACACACAAACGTTATATTGTCAAAAGATATACACCTCTATCTCATTATTTCTTCCCGAAGGCCCACTATCTGTGTTGCTTTCTCTTTGGATATGATATGATTCAGGACCAGAATCCTCACTTCCAATGGATGGAAAAGGCTGCCCTGAGTCAATGCTAGTTTCTCGAGTATTCTGTGCTTGTGTTTGAAGATTCTGATCAACGGCATGTTCTAAGTTTTCATGTTCATCAATATCTATATTCTGGCTCATATCAATAGGAGGTTCGAATGCCTGTTGAATTTGTGGAATCAGTACATCACTGCATCCGAGAAGAAATACACAAGCAGGAAAACTATAGTTTGAAGCACAAATGTGTTAACATAGGAAAAGGTTGCAATCATTTTTTTTCACCTGAAGCATGTTCATAATGAAAAATGTATTCACCGATATACACCTGCAAACTACAATCAGTCAGAATCTGTCTTCATAGGTAATTTTCATATCTCAAGAACAAAAATCACATTTGAGATAAACTAAGATTGCCCATTCTTAAGACATTATTCATTCTGCCTTATAGAGCCATGAAAGCCGATTTCATTTGTTTAAGTAGAGCAAAAACCCCAACAAACTGATGATTGCAGTACAAGGCTGAATTTGGTTCTCAAAACTATAGATTTTAATCTACTTTGCTTCGAGACAACTGGAGCTACCTTAAAATAATAAAGGTAAGAGTGGGTTTTCTGTTTCAATTGTGAATCATAACTGCATGAAATCCCAACTACGCGCTGAAGGAAAAATGTCCTTCTTTATTTTTGCTCTTTCACCAACATGCATCCTCCTACATATTATACAAAGCTCTTTCATCCTAGTGTTATTGTTCGGGAATTTTGAAACAACTCATAAAGGGTAGACATCAGGTTGGCACCTGGTTAAAAAATTGATGAGTCTTTTCTGCAGGTTTCGTGGAATTATACAGAATGTGGGTATAATGATGGTATTTCTATATTCTTTAGGCCCAACCTTTCCATTCCTATTTCACAGTTGATTATAAAATTTTAGTTAGCCTTGCATGATGACTATAATTTTGGAACATTAAAAAAATTCAATATTTGGCATACCGTCGAAGTCTTTGGTACTTCAAAGGAAGATGACAGAGAAGAGCCTGCACATGAATTAAACAAAAAAAAAAAGGAATAGAATGCCTTATCACTTATAAACAAAAATAAAAGATAATTTACTGAAACTAGAAAATTTGAAACTAATGAAGTATGTTTACCTTGTGAGCAGGTGAGAGTTTCTTATACGACCTCTCATATCTTCGAACATCCTCTTCAGCAGCATCCGAGTAACTAAATAGTGATAGGGTTTCATCAAATCAATTAGCAAAATTAGGTCAGAATCGGTAAAAGAAACAAAGGAGCAAGATAGTGAAAAATTCAACTGAATCGTTTCAAAAGACAAAGAGATTCGCCATAGAGATTCCTGATTCAGCGTTAAAAACTCTATCTTTGACTTCGATCAAATCAAACCGAGAGTGAGAGGGGGAGAGTTAGGGTTTAGGGTTTACTTGAGATAAGCACTAATGATTCGGCGCAGGGACTTGATCTCGAGAGCTTCTTCCAGTTTGCTATAATTCCTCTCCTCTTCCATTTTTTTTTTTAATTCGCGTATCTTTTTTTGGGAGTTCGATCGATCGTGGCTCCTGAGGCTGAGGGCGAGGGATAATAGCAATATACAGGTGAGTTGTGATTATTTTGTCTAAAAATTACCCAATTTTCTGAAGGAGAAATAAAAAATAAAAAAAAACTTTTTTTTCAATTTTATGAGCAAAATTAACCTCTTTGTGTTTTAATTTAAAAAAAATCTATCTTTTTTTTTTCTACATCATCAGAGCCGAGCAAAAAAGATCAATTTTATAAAATATAATAATATTTAAAATATATGGCAATACTAGTCCCTTGTAGTTAACAATCACTAATTATTAGCTAGTTAGATCTATATGTGCAAACTGGACTACATAGAAGTAGTTAAATCTTAATTAACGATCTCTAAATACATTGAGGTAACTAATCATTTGTATTTTAAATATGATATTTTATAAAATCGTCCTCTTTTTGGTCGTGATGACTTAGCAAAAAAGAAATCGATTTTACTAATTAAAACACAGGGAGATCTATTTTGGTCATACAAATACAAAAGGGTCTTTTTCTTTTTATAAATTTTCCTTTCTTAAAATTTACCTCTTGGTCCATCATCTTTTTTGTATTTGAATAATAATATTTTTTTGGAAAGTTTGGAAGTTACTATTTTTTCTTCATGAGGTGCATGGAATTTGGTATTATCATGTTATTGCTCTCATAATCATCATACTCCTTTTTATAACCATACAATATATATATATATACTTATATATATATATATATATGGGGAAACGGAACCTGAGCTCGAGCGCAGGAAAATTTCCTGCGCTAGAGCTCACGTGGCGCAGGCTGATTGGAAGAGAAATAGCGGCATCAGGAATTGCGGATGTGGGGGGTTTTTTTGCAAATTTTCATGTTCTTCTTTCCCAACCACGGTCACGGGCTCATTTCTTCCCATTTTTTTCTCCAGGCGCTCCTCCTCCTCCTCCTCCTCTTCCTCCACCAGGCGCTCAAGCTCAGGATCTCCTCCTCCTCCTCCTCCTCCTCCACCAGGCGCTCCTCCTACTCCTCCAGGCGCTCCTCCTCCTCCTCCCCCTCCAAGCACTCCTCCTCCTCCTCCTCCTCCTCCAGGCGCTCGAGCTCAGGATCTCCTCCTCCTCCTCCAGGCGCTCCTCCTCCTCCTCCTCCTCCAGGCCGGTGCTCGAGCTCAGGATCTCATCCTCCTCCTCCTGGCACTCGAGCTCAGGATCCGCAATATCTCTCCAGCTGATGCCATAAGTGCATAGACCAGCACTGTAACAAAAGTATACATATATTGGCTCCATTCCCTAATTCTACATTTTAGAGTACTTGCCATTAGAGCTCAGATTATAATCAGGTTGAATAGTAGTATTTTTCAAGGTGGTTTCACCAATATCTACAATAACTTGACAATGTGCAACTACATAGGCTGTGATGATTTCATAAAGATAAAAAATAATTATTATGTGCAAATACATTCCAGTCTCTTGTTACTTCTGATATTATTTTTTAAAAGAAAACAACTAAATCCTGACATACACAAATAAATATGTACCTCTTCAAACTGAAGTTATATGTTGCGGTTCAGAAGCTTACCATGATGAGGAAATCAAAGCAACAGACCAGTTGGTGTCTGAGGGTTGTGAATTCCTCTTGCAACAAATGCACCCAGCTATGGTGTTGACAATTGCCTGAGTAATCATATATAGTCAAACTTGCAAGATGGAATGAAATCTTGTTTTTACAAATTCCCTTCGGGGTCTTATTAAACTAGCATCAAAGCAACAACAACCAAATACAGAGCTATATGAAGTCATTCTCGATTTTTTTCGCCGAATGCACGAGGATGCCTCCTTCCAAGAAGCACCAATTACAGACACAACAGCTGTTCCAGTTCCATCTCTAATTCTCTTAAACCTCCTTATTAAACTAGCATCAAAGCAACAGCAACCAAATACATAGCTATATGAAGTCATTCTCAATTTTTTTCACCGAATGCACGAGGATGCCTCCTTCCAAGAAGCACCAATTACAGACACAACAGTTGTTCCAGTTCCATCTCTAATTCTCTTAAACCTCCTCTGAACGAACTTTTCAAAAGCAATGGCGATGATGACGGACAGAGAGAGCATAATCCAAGAAACTACCGGCCAAAGATGTAACACATATAAAATATCATCAGATCTCCATGTAATATTGCAAACAGAATGACCTCGGGGAGACCCCATTTTATGACGAATGCCCTCCATCAAAAGTTTCCCCAAAGAACCAAACAACCTTGTTTCAGATCTAAAACAATAGTAAGTCAAGCAAAATTGCCAGCCACACTAAAAATAAGCCACAATCCTAAAGAAACAAACTAAATAAGCCACACTTAAAAAATGTCCATAAGATGGCAAATCATTCCTCAAAACAGATGAACAAACTAAAATAATTTGACCCAATTAACAGGACTCCTAAGAAAATAAATCAAGTATCTGACATGAGAAAAGAGAGTTATCTCGCATGAGAAAAGAGAAGAAGTATTGAGGACTATCTGACATGAGAAAAGAGAGTTATCTCGCATGACAACTAGCCAAGTATCTGATACAATATCATCATCATCATATTGGCCTTTCCATCATAGTAGGATCAGCTACGGACCAGAAAGTTCTTTGAAAACTATAGTGCATTTTACAACACTGAAACCAGCTATGTTAGAATTGGCAACATACAAGAAAGGATTAACATCAGCAGATAATCTAGTAACTAAAAGCACATTTCATTAGCTCCTAATTTATGAAATCTATGCTCTAAATTCCTCCCATCTAAATTCATTAGGAGGATGAGATCCTGAGCTCGAGCTCCTGGAGGAGGAGGAGGAGGAGGAGGAGGAGGAGGAGGAGCGCCTGAGTAGAAAAAAATGCGCGAAGAAATGAGGGCCCGTGACCTTGCCGCTTGGGAAAGAAGAACATTTGAAAATTGCAAAAAAAACCCCACATCCGCCAATTTCTGATGTGCGCCATTTCTCTTCCAATCAGCCTGCTGCCACGTGAGCCTAGCGCAGGGAAAATTTTCCTGCGCTCGAGCTCAGCGATCCGTTTCCATATATATATATATATATATATATATATATATATATATATATATATATATATATATATATATATATATATATATATATACTCTCTTTAAAAGCACGAGTTCGGGAAAAATCTTTGGGTAGACAAAAATATATATATATACTCTCTTTAAAAGCACGAGTTCGGGAAAAATCTTTGGGTAGACAAAAATACCCCTATAAAGTTTGAACTATCCTAATACAAATCAAATTATAAGTTTTAAATTGTATTTAATAATTTATTCTAATCATAATCAAATAACTTTAAAGTTTGAACTATCCTATTCCTAATCAAATTTTAATTTTTAAATTGTATTTAATAATTTATTCTAATCCTAATCAAATAACTATAAAGTTTGAAAAGAAATCGCTCGCACACTTGAAACGCAGCTCACAGTTGACACAACTTTGATATCTAATTTTTTACTTGATAATGATATTTAATTTGTAGAAGCGAGATAATCTTCAATACGACTAAGGACTACATACATTACTGACATTTTTAGTAAAGTTTAAATATCATACTCCCTTTAAAAGCATGAGTTCAAAAAAACTTTCGGTAAACAAAAATACCCCTATAAAGTTTGAACTATTCTAATACTAATCAAATTCAAAATTTTAAATTGTATTTAATGATTTATTCTAATCCTAATCAAATAACTTTAAAGTTTGAACTATCCTAATCATAATCCAATTATAACTTTTAAATTGTATATGTTTCTGAGACCTATTTATTCTAATTTTTAAATTCTATTTAAAAATTATAGAAGTGAGATAATCTTCAGTACAACTAAGAACTACTTACCTTACTGACACTTTTAATTTTATATCTAATTTTTACTTGCTCTATTTAATTTGTAGAAGCGAGATAATCTTTAATACGACTAAGGACTACTTACCTTACTCATACTTTTTATTAAAGTTTAAATAAATTACTAAAAGACTATCCTAATTATTCACTTTGAACTAAATATCCTAATCATAATCCGTACATATTCTGCCTCCTCTCTTTCTTTAAAGTTTGAATTAAATATCTATCCTAATTATGCCTTCTCTCTTTCTTTAAAGTTTGAACTAAGACATGAACTTCAAAGTTTAAATGATCCACTAAAAGGCTATCCTAATTATTCAGTTTGAACTAAATACCATAATCCTAATCCGTATGAGGCATAGACTTTACGCATATGAATCTGTTGATAAGAATTGTGTTATTGTTATTATAATAAAATATTATAGAATTTACCATCTTTATACAAAGAGAACTCTAATTGTAGTTGTTATCCTATCACATGCAACATCTCATGCCTATATATAAACCAAGAAATTACACAATTTTCATGGTAAATTCGTCTCCTTCAACATGTATGTTCCTTTTTTATCTTTATGATTATTCTTTAGTAATATTGTGTATTTGATTATTCTCTTTTGTTAGTGTCTTCTTCAACATGTATATAATTGCTCACATCAACAAATTAAATAATCTTAATTATTCTATCATCAAATATTATTAATTTCAAATGACCAACTTTGAAATTAGTAGGAGTAGCTTGCATATGGTGGTTTTATTAATCATGCACATGTATTATGAATTTTTCACACGTAGGTTTTGATTTTCAAATGAATTATTAAAAGAAACAATATTTCAAGATTTCGTATAAATTTATTAAATGTAAACAATATAGCCAACATATGAACAACCCAATGAACTTTTTTGAAGTTAATTTGTATGTTAAAAATATAATAATAGAACCTTACCATTACTCCTATCATTAAATAAACCTATTCATGATTATTATATTGAAATTTGATGATTATATCAAAGACAATGTAAATTATTTGACTTAAAACAAACAAAAATGAATTTTCTATTATTCATCTAAAAGTAAAAAAGATAGTAAAGAAACAACCTTGAAAAATTGTGGCCTTTTAGTTAAAAGATCCAAAGTTAAATATATTAAAAAATTGTGACCTTT